GAAGCTACTCAGACCTTCACTTCTCATCTGCCTTTTCCACCCCAGTTCAGACCCGGAAGAGTGGTGCCCACCAGTGCCTGAGAAAACCCACTTGACTGAGTCGAACTCCAGTGGAGCGTGCCTGGTGGCTCCACCCCCAGGGGAAACGCCTTCCCCTACCTCTTCTTATGGGCAGCAGTCCACGGCCACTCTTACCCCTTCACCTCCTGATCCTCCCCAGCCCCCTACTGATATCCCCCATCTCCAACAGATGCCCAGGTAAGGAGGTGTAGAATTCCCCGCACATTATAGATCCTCAGTATGTATTTATTCAGTGGATGAGTGGGTGGGTGTGTGGGTGGATAGATAGGTGAAGAGGGTTCGTGGTCTCAAGTGAAAGCGTGATATGGAGAGGAAGGTGAAGTCTGACGGAACTCTCACGCATCTTTCAGGCTGCCTCTCTTTGGAGCCGGTCTGCAGACTTCCAAGGCATTGCATACAAACATGGATGTCCTCATGCTTCCCTAGTGTGAGGCCTTGTGGTGGACAGTAATCATATCTTGACTATGAGCAGCGGGCTGGAGCACACAGTGCAATGCCTGACACCGAGTAGGCTCTGGGTTTTCGGGAGTGAGTGAGTGCTGAGCCCTTCTGTCTTTGCAGGAGGGCGCCGCTTGGGCCAAGTTCTCCTCTCAGTGTATCCCAGCCCGCTCTGAGTAGCCATGAGGGGAGGCCTGGCGGCCTGGGTGCCGGGCCCACAGCCTCCTATCACCTCAGCGGCAGCCCTGTCCCTAGCGTGGCCAGCAGTGCCCCAGGTGAGTCTGCTGACACTGGCTCCCACATCACTGTACCCCCTCAGAGCTCGTTGGCCCTTTACCTTCAACCCCCTTTCTCAGTGCCCGCCCCGCACCTGCACCTCCCTTCAGTCTCCTGATCCTACAGGGAGAACCCGCCAGGTGACTGGAGAGATGACCCCCCCACTCCATGGACACCGTGCCCGAATCCGGAAGAAACCCAAGGCTCTTCCTTACCGAAGGGAGCACAGTCCTGGGGGTGAGGGGAGCCCCGGGCCTGGGGGATGGTGACAGTCAGTAGAGGGAATGGGCAGGAAACCAAGGAGAATGGAGTAGGTGACACCAAACCTCGGGTCATTGTCTTGCCTCCCAGGATCGGGGATGGGGTAGGAGGTGTATTCGGGTCGGGAGAAGCAGGGGGTCTCTGCTGAAAACAGGTTTCTCCCCAGACTTGCCCCCACCACCCTTGCCCCCACCAGAGGAAGAAACGAGCTGGCCCTTGGGGCTGAGAGCGGCGGGCAGCACGTCTTCCTTAGAGCGAGAGAGGAGAGTGGTACAGGCCGGGCCCTACCACGCTGGGCCCCACCCAGACGGTAAGCAGAGCCAGGGCAGTGGGAGGCACTGGATGCTCACAGGAGTCCCGAGGGTCCCCAGCTCACCGGCTACCGTCAGCTGGATTAACGCATCTGGTCAACATCTGATGTTGACTCTTGTATCTCACACTCTCTAAGCCAAAGTCCTCGGAGTCCCCAAGATTATTCCCCGCTCCCCGGGACTGAAGCTGAGGATGAGGAAAAAGTGGGGTCTGGGTGGTGTCCTCGCTTCCCTAAGTTCTCGGTGCGCTCTAGTCCCTCACATGTGTCTGAATCCCTGTCGTGTCAAGGTCATGGGTTAGGCCTTCTGCTTCTCTTTAACCGTTACTCAGCCTGTCAGAGCCTAATGCCCGGCCCTCAGTCATTCCCTAGAGCTGGGGGAGAGCACAGGGTGGCCCGTGGACACGAGCAGTGACAGTCTGCTTCCCTCCACGGACCCAGCTGCACTTCTGGGCTGTGCTGCAGAAGACGCCTGGCTCCCATACGGCAGACCGAGCTTCCTGAGCCACGGCCAGGGCACCAGCACCTGCAACACCGCTGGCAGCAATTCTTCCAGGGGTTCCAGCAGCTCTCGAGGTTCTCGGGGCTCTCGGGGCCCTGGACGCAGCCGGAGCCGGAGCCGGAGCCAGAGCCAGAGGCCAGGACAGAAACGGCGAGAGGTGGGGACCGGACGTCATAAAGGAACAGAGCAGAGGGCTGGGAGTGTAGGCCAAGGGGAAATGGGCAATAAATAGTGAAGGGATTGCAGAGGAGATCAAACAGAGAGGGCCCAAAGGTGGTTGGAAGGAAGGAATCCTTGAGAAGAAAAGACAAGGGGTAAGGGCACAGGGACACACAAGAGTGGAGCCTCGGTATGCCATAGAAGTGGATCAGAGGAAAGACTGATCCCTGACGTGTGGCCTGTCACAAAATAGCATTGCTCCCCGCACCATATCCCTTTCTCCGTAGGAACCAAGATGACCCTTCATGAAGCAGGAGCTTATTGAAAGTTCCACAGGGAAAGGGTGGGAACCCCTTCCCTGGCCAACAGGGAAGTGCGAGCCAAGAGGAGCAAGGATGAGGCTGGCTGCCTTTCCTCCCAGCAATGATGCTTGTGACTCACAGAAGCCCACTGTCTTCGACAGCTTTAGTTGTCTCGGGAGCCAGAGAATGTGCTCTTTCTCTTCCATCTTTTTCTGACTGAGATATGTTTGTATAAAAGGGAAAAAAAAAAGTGTCCGATCTGAGCCCTGGGCCCTGCTTGTCTGTTTTATGCAGTATTGTGAGCAGAGCAGGCCGTAAAGGTCTGTAGATCAACACACACACTGATAGCTGCTGCATCTTTTTGAACTTGTGTCAAAATTCACAAGATGAGGACAGATGACAAGTGACACTGGCCTGGCCTGCTTCCCAGAGGAACTGAAGCCACTGTCCACCAGTGCGTTAGTTCACTATCCATTGGCATACAAACAGCTTAAGGGAGGAGAGGTATACTTGGGCTCGTTTTTTCAGGACTGAGCCCATGGTTGGCTGGATTCTGTTGTTGTGGCTGTGGTGAGGCAGAGCATCATGGTGGAGCAGAGCTGCCCACCTCATAACAGCCAGGAAGCAGGAAGAAGCATACAAGAAGCAGTCACGGCAAGACAAGTCTTTCAAAGACATGATCCCAGTGACTTCCTCCAGCCATATCATACCTCCTAGCAGCCCATAGATCAGTGGTTCTCAATCTTCCTAGTGCTGTGACCCTTTAATACAGTTCTTCATGTTGTGGTGACCCACCTCCAACCATAAAATTATTTTAGTTGTTATTTCATAACTGTAATTTTTTTTAAAGATTATTTATTATGTATACAACATGTATGACTGCAGGCCAGAAGAGGGCGCCAGATCTCATTACAGATGGTTGTGAGCCATCATGTGGTTGCTGGGAATTGAACTCAGGACCTCTGGAAGAGCAGTCGGTGCTCTTAACCACTGAGCCATCTCTCCAGCCCTCATAACTGTAATTTTACTACGTTATGAATCATGATGTAAATATCTGATATGTAGGATGATCTTGGGTGACCTCAAAGGGACCTCCACCCACAGATTGAGAACCACTGCCATAGATGAAGTTAGTGCCTTCATGATCCAGTCACCTCTCGTAGTAACAGCAGCTAAAGTACAGTCCTTCCCCATACAGGCCTGTCGGAGAGATGTTTTGTGTCTAAACCATAATACCCTGTCACAACTATAGGGATATTCGAATAGCCAACACATAGATCATTGTCACACCTTCAGAGAACTGGCCAAGTTCTTTGGTGCCCTCTTCCAGGGCCTGTCTACCCTTCTGTAAGTGAACACTTACCTCACAATAAATCTAAGTTAAGAAAAACAAACCCAAAGAGAGCCAGTATGGTGGGATTTGCCTGTAATCCTAGCACTCAACAGGGGAAGGCAGGAAGATAAGGAGTTCAAGGCCAGTCTCAGCTGTATAGCAAGTTTGAGGTTGGCCTGGACTATGTGAAACCTTGTCTCCAACAAAACGAAATAGTGTGTGAATGAAATCATCCCAGTCAAGAAGGAAGTGCGTGCTTCCGCCCGGCCCCAGGCTCCTTCACAGACGGTGTCTGCGAAGGGAACCTCTGGACTCCACTGCATGTAGAGCTGGTCATAGACTATGTCACAGCTGCTGTCACTCTCCCCCCGCAGCTGGCACACGTGGTCACTGCTTGAAGTCCCCCTTGCTTCTTGCCTGCTCCATCCTCTGTGCTCTAGATAGCTTGGACCTTGAAAGCCACGGCCTTGCCCTCCACTTTGACCTGAATATTATGTGTGCAAATTCCCTTTCTCTCCAGTCTGGCCAACAGAGTTGGGGTGCTTTCAAGAGGAATTTTGCCAGAAAGCTAAGGAAAAAAAAATTTAAAACAGCAAAAATGGAATGGACGTGTATCGGGAATACTCACTGCTCTTTTCAAGATCCTGCCGACCAGTCAGGCTGATTTGCCGAGCCTAGCTCAGGAATCAATCACCCTGGTCACACCTGCTTGGCTTCCTAACTGAGTGGTTTCCAGGCAGAATTGCTGGGGTCAGGGAATTAGCAGCACTGAGCCTGCTTCTGAATCATGCCCTCCCTCCACACACACAGAGTTATCTTCTTTGGCCCTGATGATGCTCTACAGCACAGCCCTGAGTTGTGAGTTCTGTCCACGACCTTTCCCACCATGTATGGGAGATGCTGGTAGCCTGCCCTCTCGTGGCTTTCAATGGTTCAGGACTCAGAAGTCGTCCGATGGCCATCTCTGTCCTGTTGTTTTGTCTGAACGGTGTTCACTAGCCAAGTATCCCAGGTGATAAATCCTACCTTTTGTGGAAGTTAGCTGCTTGTCTATTTTTAAGACACCACCTGGAACCGGACTTTAGGGAGCAGGGCTGGGACCGCAGCAAACAGGAGTTGGCTCCCCGAGATCCACAGACCCTTAGACAACCCCACTCTTCTCTAGCTACATTCTGCTTAAACTTGCTGGATATACCTCAGTCCCCTCTGATTTAAGACCAGAAATGAGAACACTCCCTGAGTAGCAATGAATGCTTCATCCTCTCTCTAGCCAGGTAACTTTTACATCTCTACAGGTACCCTTCCCAAAATAGCACCCAAGGAATGACATCATAGAACTCAAGTCTTTACAGTTTTATAGGATCAAGTTCCTGAAGCTCACAGTGACCATGGCATGAGGAGAGTGCTTTGGTTCCTAGTTCTCCTGCTTCTTTTCTTCGGCCTCCTCCATTAACTCAACTTTGAAGTGTTGACCGTGACACCAGATAGGACCTACCGCATCCATGACCTTCCTCCTTCATTTTCCTTGCATGGTGTGGCTGGGGAGAGGGCTGAACTGGTTTCTAAGGGAGGAGGAGTCCAGCTAGAGACCAGAGGGCTACTCTAAGTATCACCACCACAGCCCTTTTCAACAGCCACTTCTGTCCTCCATGAAGACACTGTTAGCTTCCCTTCTTCCCATAATCCACATGGGTAGGAGATGAGGAGCTAGGCTTACTTAGGCCAAAAGCCCTGGTTGTGAGGAGAGAGTTTGATGTCATGAAGATGCTGTCTTGCTTTCAGTGGGAATCCAAGTTTCCCTAGATCATAGGGAATAAACCTAGTTTGGTTTACTTCCTTTTGTTTTAACAATCCCAGCAACAGAACTCTCCAGAAGCCCAGTGATAATGGACCTCTGCTACAGAGAAGCGTAAGCCCAGACCTACATCTGTGGGAAGGCCTGGGGACAGACAAGAGAGTGGTGTAGATGCTCTTCTGGCCATCTCAGGGACAATTCAGGAGGAATCTGCAAGTTGAAGGGGAACAGAATTACGACTAGATCCCAGGCTACCTTTGGGCTCTTCTCCCGAGCTTGTTGATCAAGGCCACGTGTCAGGCAGCCAGCCAAATACTTACCACCACCAGCCTTGGGCACAGCACCACTGAGCTGACTTCGATGGGAAGAGACCCTAAAGTCAGGAGGCCAGGGAGGCAGCCCCCTCCCCAGCCTCTGGGTGTGGCTGACCTCAGCATCCTCCAGCCAGTCTGGCCTCCACTCCCACAGAGGCAGAGAGAAACTTCGGGTCAGGGAGAGATCGTCCCGAGGGGAGGGAGGGGAGGAAGCGTCTGCGGAGGAAGGCAGATGGTCAACCTTTAGCTCCTAGGGACCCAATCTAAGGCAGAAAGCTTAGGACTGGTTTAGGGTACACATGCATCACCACCCCTAAATGTAACCTGGCCTCTCCGTCTATCAGTTCCAGTGGCTGCAGCCCCGGGCCTGACATATGTGTTTCTCTACAGAGCAGTTTGCCATGTTTTCTCCCATACCAGCTCTGGCTCTCTGCACTCTTCCTTTATTAGCCTTGGGTGGCCTCTTCCCTGTGTGATGGGCACTTCTGACCTGGACAAGGTTTGTCCTGATGTGTCCTATAAGCCTCATTGTTTTTCTTGAGGCCCAAAGGTAGAGTAAGGGTAAGATATCTCGTGTGTGTGTGTGTGTGTGTGTGTGTGTGTGTGTGTGTGTGTGTGTGTGTGTAAAATCACCTCCTGATGACACGGAGAGAGACTGAGCCCAGGTGTTCTCAGCCTCAGCCACAAACAGGCAGCCATGAGGCTTGGAAGCATAGCACGAGCAAGGAGGCATATGAAATGCCAGTTGAGAGAAGACTGGCTGGAGCAGCTCTTCCTGAGACCCACATCTGGGGAATAGCATGGTCCTGGAGGTGGGGGGTTGGGCTGGATTCCTTCAGGCTTCAGAGTTGGACCATTTGTCCTTGATCTATGGGGGATCTTGAGCAAGTTAGAACATCTGTTTGACCTAGTGTTTCCTGATTTGGAAAAGAGAGGTAAAGAATATTCCTCCTGGACTTCTTAATAATGCACATGAAGCACTTCTTCCAGTACCTAGGACTTATCAGTAAAAACTACCTTCCTTCTTCTTTGAGATAAAATCTTACTATGCAGCTCAGGCTGGCCTGGAGTTCATAATTTTCCTGTTTCGGTTTCCCAAATGCTGAGATATCATGCATGTGCTGCCACACCTCAATAACACTGATTGTTTAAAAGACATCGAGGGTAATGATGACCAGGAGGCCTTGACTCTTCGTTAGGGAGACAGGGAGCTGTTTCCACTCTAAGGGAGGCAGGTGGCCCCACATACCAGTGAAGACGCAGTCAGCTTCCCTGGGCTCCAGACCAAAACCAAAGCTATCCACGGCCACTGCCAGGGCACGGGCAAAGTGAGCATCCGCGAGGAAGGAGCCATCGGAGGAGCTGACCAGGCTGGCCCTGGCGCTGGGGGCGTTGTCCTCAGAAGCTGAGCCCCAACCGTTGGCCAGGGAGCCCTCGCTGGGGGTAGGGGTGGGGCAGGGCTGAGGTGGGCACAGTAAGTTCCCAACCTCGGACCCCACGCCCCCACCAGCTCTGCCCATGTCTGCCAGTCCTGAGGATGTTGGGATACTGATATAGCCATAGGTGGTTGGAGGTGAAGGAGCTCTTGGCATAGGAGATACACTGTTCCTAAAAGGCAAAAATGGGAGACAGTACACGGGTTAGGCCTCAGTAGCAGGGGCACGGCAATTGAGGCAGGTTTGTGTGCCCCCCAGGATGCTTAGCGGGATTGTGCCAGCTCTCCCAGGATACTCACCTGGGTGTCTCCTCCCCTTCACTGAGCTCCAGGCACAGGGCCACCTCCTCGGGGGTGAGAACACTGTCCTGATCCTCCTCTAAGGATGACAGTGAGGAGCTGGACAGGTTGCTGGAAGCTGGGCTAGGACAGGAGAGGAAAGAGGCCTGGGGGCTGGCAGGCCTGGAAGGCCTTAGGATGGAGAGAGGGGATGCTGTTCGTGGGTCCGAGGAGGGAGCTTGGGGCTTCTCCACACACCTGGTTAGGGGGCGAGAGAGATGGCAGATTAGTTAAGGTCATCCTTCAGGTCCACATCTCTTAGCTTTGGTCTCATCCCCCAGCCACACTCCCCACACCCTCAGTGTCCCAACTCTATTTCCTGACCCGCGCCCTCTTACTGGGTCTGTGGATCACGACTGGGGGTTCCACAAAGAGACAGGGGTGTTGGAGGGAGTGGACGAGTGGCTAGCTCATTCGAGTTGCGTTGAAGCTGTGGTCCCAGGACATGCCAGGCTACCACACCTCCGGGGGCTTCTCCTGGGGAACAAGACTTGGGGCCTGAGAACAAAAGAATCTCTAAAATCTCATGAATTCCAAATCCCAACCTGCTCAGACCCCAGTTTATTGCCCCTTAGGGAGCCTCTCTCACCTGGGCTCTGGGAAAGGTTCTTGGAGGCTCTGCTTCCCAACTCCCAGGCCCAGATTTCCATGGGGTGGCTGCTGCGGAGCAGTGGGGAGCTGTTGGCTTGGTGCAGCTCTACAAGGGAAAGACAGCTGTTAGGAACAATGGGCGGAGGCTTTTCAGGCCCCTGTCACAGGCCCTGCCTTTAGCCTTCGCATTCACCCAGACCTTCGGACCTCGGATCTAGATAAAAGAGGGAGACAACTACTCGTCTCTGCCCCCATCTTTCTCCAGCCTGATAAACTGGAAAGGGCACTGAGTGGTTTAACTGTGTGACCTCAGGGCCACGCATCAAGCTTTCTGAATATCAAGTTCATTTGTAAACAACCACTTCAAAGAATGATGTTGAGAATTCAATAAAAACAGACTGTAAAGCTCCTGCTCCAGACAGATGCTTCCAGAACCAACTTTCTTTTCTTGGACTGTGTGCATGCCAGTTTTCCTGGTCTCTATTCCCCCACATTGCTCCTCTCCTCATCAGTTTCTGCTCTGTGGAGACAAATAGTCCTCCTCTTAGAATCTGCTAACAATGCTCATTTCTCACATCGCCTCGTCCTGAGATGCTTCACTGTCGCTTCACTGGGGAGCGGGGAAGACGGTGTGTGTGTGTGTGTGTGTGTGTGTGTGTGTGTGTGTGTGTGTGTGTGTGTGTGTGTGGTGAAACAAAGCCAAGTGAAAACCTCAGGCTAGGAAGCCCTGTGGCAGAATGGAAAGCTTCCTAAGTAAAAATGAGGGTGTGGCTCAACTGTAGGCATGTGCTTAGCATGTGCAAAGCCCTTGGTTCAAGCTTCAGCATCAAAGGGGAGGAAGGAAGGAAGTGGGGGCCGGGGAGAGGAAGAGAAGAAAGAAATAAATGGCTGTAGAAAATAACTCATCTTTTTCTAAAACTGTTAACTTTCCCAGAGAGATCATACATTCCAAGTCATTGTGCCTCTCTGCACAAACACAGTTTTGTTTGTTTGTTTGGTTGGTTGGTTGGTTGGTTGCTTGGTTGGTTTTGAGGACTGATTCCAGGGCCCAGTGCATGCCAACTGACAGCTTTACCACTGAGTTTATGACTCCTAAATGAGACTTATTCCAATTCTTTTTAGCTGGCATTTCATTACCACTCAAGATTGATAATACAATAGCCCCAAGCAAAATGGGAAAGAATGCCAGCTTATTAATATTTACAGTCACATAAAACTGTCCATATTGAACAAGCTCTTAATTACTCTTAATCCACCCTGTCTTTTTACTAAAGTTGGATTTTATCTGTTTAAAAACAACTGACTGTAAAAACATCTGCCAGGTCTCTCTAAGCAGTTCAGAAAGTCCATAGCGATGGCAGGCAGAGTGCAGTGCCAGGCTCTGCAGGGCAGCGTCTGGGAACACAGTTCCCAGAGCCTGGACCTTCCTGAATGATTCCCAGGGAACTCAGCAGCCTTTGGAGACAGCTTCAAAGCTGAGCTCTGCAGCTTGTTTGGGAATTTTGAGCAAGTCACCCAATCATTCCATCAATCTTTTCCTCTCTGTAAGTTTAGAGAAACAACGTCCTCCTCAAGGATCAAACATGATAACAAATGTAAGTAATCAGTTATCGAATAGTAGTTGTTTGAGAAATGGCGATCATAATTGTCTCCTAGAATGTCAAAACAGGCAGCTGGAAGTAAAGAGATAAATCTTTCCCAAAAGCATTACAGGCATCCCTCATATTACAGGGGACTGGGCCCAGCATCCCTAGGAGGAACAGTTTTCACCCTTGGATGGTTGATTTTGTGAGTATAGAACCTGTGGATAGCCATGCTTCTCTCTAAAAAGCGAAGTGAGAGGCAGGGTCCAAGCCGACCAGTGCATGACGTGTGGGGCGCGAGATCCGGAAAACCTGAGGTTTTTTTCAGCAGTGGTTGCCTGAGGCCAGGCTCCAGCTATACTTGTTTGTTGGTCAACACAGATGGGGTTCATAAGACGGAAAAAGGTGTGCCCAATGTTCCTTGTATCCACCATGCCTAGTACGCAGTTAAATTGCATGCAGTTGGCATGTTTGTTAAATGTTCTCTAAGTCCCCTTGACTGCAGAGCCCAGGCTCACTACTGTAGAGAAAAAGCTGTGGTGAGCACAGATAGCGGTCTGCGTCCACTAGGAGATAATATGAGCTTGGGAGTGGTGCTCAGTCCATACTCAAGTTGTTTAAGGTCAGCGGACCGCATTACCACTTCCAATCCCACCCCCATCTGCCCCAGAACATGGCTTTTCTCTCCACCTTTACCTTGCTTCTTTTTGGCTTTCCAGACCTCTGCAGGGGCCAGAGACATGCGTGGGGAATAGAGTCCCCTGCGGCTGCAGAGACTGTCTGAGCTGGCCCAGGGGCTGGAGGTTCCGGCCAACTTGGATGGAAGACGCCTAGCAGCTGGTGTCCGGGGGCTTGGCCGGACTGGAGGGCTGGAGGCCTGCTCTGCGATGAGGGAGCCATAAAAAGTGCTGGTGTCTGGAAGCAGGGGCACACCAGGGCTCCGGGGGTCCCAGGAGATCACTGTCATAAAAAACGACAAGAGGAGTTATGGTGAGCACATTGTACTCCATCTCCCCTTTCCATCCCAGCGGTCCCTTCGCGGGAGGCATAGTCACAGGAGCGCCTGCCGTCTAGTGGGTCCCGAGGGTCCACTCCCAGCCGACTACTGAGGCTGCTGCTGCTGCTCAGGTCTCGAGAGCCAGAGGTGGAACGCCAGGTGTCTGCCAGCCATGGGGAGTCACTGTGGTCCATCCTGGGGTGGTGGTGGTGGCGGCGGCAGCGGCGGCGGAGCAAGGCAGGGAAGAACAGGAACCAAATTAGTTAAGAGGTCCAGCTCAGAGGGCAGCAGCAGGAGTAGAAATGTTTGCTTCACCCCTACAGCTGTTTTTCTCCATTTTGTAGACCTAGAGGACCCCTGACCCGGTGCCCCTGAACTCAGCATATCTTTCTATCTTGGGATCAGGGAAACTGTCCAGACCTGGGGAGGGGGTATTAGGGGAAAAACAGTTATGGATATGGAGATGAACAGAACAAAATGGAGCCAGGTGAACATGGCTTGAAAATCCCTACCTGCCATAGTTTAGTTGTGCAACCCAAGAACTGAATCTATTGGTCTCTCTGAGCCACACCGTGTCCTCGGCTGTTAAATGGTGACAAAGAGAGCCTGCGTATAGGGCTGATGCTGCGAACTGAGCTGAGGAAATCCTGAGTCACTCTGCTGGCAGAATAGAAGTTTGCTGTGGTCACTGCTGGCCTCCAGCTGTCTGAATTCTCCTTCAAGAGCAGCAATTTGAGAACACTACTTCTCTGCTAGAGCCTTCAGTCGCTCCCTATTTACCGAGATAGAGTTCAGATGCCTCCCAAGGCATCTTCCTTGGCCTGGCTTCCAGCTTTCAAACCTTATCCTTTGTTCTGATACCAGGTGTCGCAGCCAGAACAACGTTTGCATTTCCCTGTGAATATAGCCAGCGATTTCTCCCACTGCATACTCTTCTCCACAGGGTACATGTGGGCTCCTCTTCCTTCTGTTTCTCTAGCTCCGTCCCTGAACCTGGGTCATACTGCATATCCAGCTCCAGATTGCTCCCCTGCCTGTCCCTGCCTGTCCCTGCCTGTCTGCAAGTTCCTGGTGGGTGGAGACTATAAAAAAAAAATGGATGGACTGATCTCTATAGAATTCCCCATGAGGACAAAGGAAGGGATCCCAGGGAAACCGAGCAAAGTTCAGGAGGCAGGAGGTAGCTAGAAGAGAGAAGCCAGAGAGCAAGGAAAAACTCAGGACATGATGCCAGGCAGCCTAGAATCTTGTTGAAAGGAAACGGGCAGCCCGTGGGCCCAATATATCCAGTACACAGTAGGTACTCAATAAACGCTTCTCAAATAATTCAGACCCAGAGCGTAAAGACTAATGAAGTTGACAAAGAGAAGAAACGTTTTTCTAGTGTAAAACTCAGCCAATGGTGGGGGGAAGGGGGAGGGAGAATTGTTTTTTGTTTGGTTTTGTTTTCTTGGAATTTTGTCTCGTGACTACAGGCTAGCTCTGGTAATTAAGCAGTTGGAGCAGAGGTGCCTATTGTTTGTTTGGCCCTGGTTTGGCACAATGAGAAAGAATCTGACCTGAGGGCTGATCGCCCCCTGCTGGAAGTGTGCCGCATGTGCAAGACAGATGGATGGCTCAAGAGGCGGGCAATACACAGAACGCTATCAGGTAAATATTGGGAACACAGGGGAATCAAGACACTAGTGCTGGTCTCCTGCCAGCTGCTAGTCACTTAACAACAGGAGTAGAGAGAGTAGGTGGCAAGAACAACATATAGATGGCAAAAACATTCAGGTTTTATGATTCAGGTTGCTCGGCTGTCAGGGGGCTACAGTGGAAGAGATTCATTGCCACACAGAGTCCAGGAGGGTTTCCGGTGCTAGGACCCTAAACTGTGTGGCAGGAGGGTAGACTAAAACTCCACTCAGTTCTATGCTGAGATTCCACTCACTCTGACCTCTTTGCCCTTCCTAAGGACTCCCCTTTGGCTCTCACCTGTGTTTTAAAATGGCATCCTCACTGGTGTATCTGTACAGACCTGGAAGAAAGTGGGGGAACAGATAAGTGAAGAGCCCACCATCTTCCTAGAGATTGAAGCCCCTGTGGTATTCTGGCTGGACCCAGGGAGACTTACCTGGGCCCAGGTGCACCCCAGCTTTGCGTCGTCTGTAGATACACACAGCAATGCCCAGTAGCAGCAGCCAGAGCAGGACAGCACCACTGGCAATGACTTCTGGCCGTCTCAAGGTGGCCCTCAGCTGACCCAGGGTCCAGGAAGCATGTTTACTGGGGTCTTGGGCCGACTGCTCCATGGCCTGCTCTGTATGGGATGTGGAGCTCAGAGAGAGGACAAGTCGGACAATGGGGGACCGACAGACAAGACAGGGAGCTGGAGGTGTAACAGGAACCGGGAGACAGGAGGATGACATGGCGGCTGAAGGATATGGACAGGACCTTTCTCTCACCTAAAAGGAGGCAGACAGGGCTACTGGGCTCTCCTGCCCCAGCACCAGTGACGGCAGCCACTTGCACACAGTAGGAGCCTGGGACTCGTGTGGAGATCTCCAGCTGGGTCTGTTCACCCACGACAGTCCAGTTGGCCGCGGGGAATGAGGTATTATTGCCCAGGTTCCATACCTGGGGCACAAGCAAAGGTGAGCAGCTGCCCCTAGCACGTCCCAGCAGAAGAGCCCTTCATCTGCAGATGGCCATGCGGTCCTCCTAAGCCTGACATCTTCCTGAGGGCTGCCCAGCAAAACAATACCACAATCCCTATGGCCCCCTCCTCTACCAAGTGAGAGACTTCTCTCTAGACGACAAAGGAGCAAAGGTAATCTGCTAAAACACACCCAGGACCAGTGGTTCACGGTGCTTTCGGGTCACCTAGAGGCTTGCTAAAATTGAGGCACCAAGCTCAGTTTTCACTTTCTGATTCAGGAGACCTGGGAAAGGACCTGAGAGTCTGCTTTCCTAACGAGTTCCCAGGTGATTCGCCTCTTGCCAGTCCAGCACCCACATTTTGAGCAGTCCTGTCTTAAAGACCTAGGTCTGACCCAGCCTGAGTTTTGATTTGATCGAATCAACCTAACAGTTTGATTTCTGTTCTGTTTCTTCCATCTGTGACCATAATCTGGCTTTCCATGTATAAATTGGAGATGATAACCTAAGACTGTTGGTGGGATGAGATGAACAGTAGCCTGTACAATGCTGGGCGAGGTCTGGACGACTGAGCAGGCCCTTGTACATGTGCTCAACAAAAGCAAAATCCCTCCACTTTTTGGCTCAGATGGTGTTTTGTAGTATCATTTTTGTAGGGACTACCTGGTAGCCTCGGATGACACCATTATGGTTTTCAGTGGGTGGTGGAGCCCAGCTCACAAGGACACTGCTGTTGCCAGGTTTTAGGGTCACTTCTTGAGGTGGGGCGCTGGGCACTGGAGAAAAGGAAGAGACCGTTAGAAATGCTCAAGAAGAGGACTCTGAGAGGACCGAGAGGCACCGGGGGATGGAGAGTCAGCGTCTCACAAGGAAAGACACTTCTTACCGCTGTTTGCTTCAACATGCAGAAGAAGAGTCTCCCTCCTCTCCCCCAGCACGTCCAGACTGGACCAGGTTAGATGAGGAATCCCCCCTCCCATACACGCACGTCAATCAGGACCCGTCACTGACCTTGTTCCGGCAGCCTCAGGAGCAGCACATTGCTGTCCGGGCCTCGAGCCCGGCCGGAGGACGGTCTCACTTTGAATTCGTAGTCTTGGCCCCAGCGGAGGCCCCCAAGCTTTGCGCTCTGCAAGCCACCCAGCAGCACCTCTGTCCATGGAGACCCCTGGCCCCCGGGGTCCCTCTGGGCCCTGAACAAGGCCGTGTATGACTCAGCAGGTGCCGCAGGGCCGCTCACCTGGGGAGAAGTTGGAGTCAGGGTCAGGGCTTGGGGAGTTCACGACATCCCTCTCACATCCTGGGTCCTCTGCCTCACCTTCCAGCTGAGCCACACAGCCGGTCCAGGCTTGGGGCCTTTCACGGGTTCTGGGTTCAGCAGGGTCACGTTTTCCAGCTGAATACGAACAGCCAGAAGTTCCAGATATTCCTTGTGGTCCCGTGACTCTGTGGGGGGAACACAGGGGTGCAATGGGGGAGGGAAACATACCTTCATCATGGACAAACTTGTCTGCCAGAGTTTTCAGGCCTTGAGTACTCCTGTGTCCATTCTAGCCTCACACAGGGAAGCCTCACCAATCCCAGACTGAGCCCTGTATACCCGAACCCCATACCTGGCCACCATACTAACTGGAGTCCCTTACTTTAGATACTGTGTGTGGGTTTAAGCTCATATGTGTGCATGTGGGTTTTAGTATGCATATGGAAGTCAAAAGTTGACAATAAAGTCCTTATTATTGCTTTCTACCTTGATTGATTGATTGATTGATTGATTGATTGATTGAATGATTGATTTTTGAGACAAGTTCTCTCACTGAACCTGGAGCTCACTGTGTAGACTAGACTGGCTGGCTGGCTTCTGGACCCTACCTGTTCCCACTCCACCCCAGTCCTGGGATTATAGACACGCGCTGCCATGCTCAGCTTTTCTGTGGGTGCTAGAGATCTGAACTCAAGTCCCCACGTATATGAAGCAAGCGCTCTACCCACTGAGTTATCTTCTGAGACCTTACGTTGGATTTTAGCTGACTCCTGTTCTTACCCCGGACGGACACCCTGGCTGCTCGGCTCTCCCGTTGCCCCGCGTTGTTGGTGGCCATACACATATAGGTCCCTGTGTCATTCTTCTCTGCTCTTGCCACCATCAGGGAATCCCCGGACACCTGTCAGTACAGACACTCTGTGACGTCTTCAATAGGAGAAGAAGCTTAGAGGCTGGAGGGCAACTTGAGGTCTTTTTGCCCTCTGGTCCTCAGACCTGCCAGGGGACATGCCACTGGAGAGCATGTCAGTTGCTTGGTGTGCCCAGGACATGATGAAGTAGGTGGGAAAAAGTTCTGGGGAAGGGGGCTCCACTTACTGTGTGCCTCCTTGGCTGGAGGACCAGCGGTTTCCCATCTTTCCACCATGAGACTGAAGGCTTTGGGTAGCCCCAGGGTGGCCCACACTCAAGAACCAACTTCTCACCCACCACGACCACTGTGTCCCGAGGCTGGATCCGGAAGTCCTCCTGGAGGACTGTTAGGAGGACATCAGGTCAACAGGAAGCATGTCTACCCCCCCCCCCGCCCCGCCCCCCTAGTCCTTCCTTGGCATCTCCTAGCATGCTTACCCCATCCTGCTGTACCCATTTCCTTGGCCTTCTATGTCCAACTTAACCTAGCTCTCCCTCCCAAGACCCCCAGCCCAGGCCTCCCTTTGCAGATAGCCCCTCATATTTCCTGGACACAAGCATCTCGACGTAGCTTTACTTTACCCTGGGCCTACCCTCCCAAGCCTCACCAGCCACAGACAGCCTAGCACCCCGGCTCACTGCTGTGCCCAGCCGGTTGCTGGCCTCACATGTGTAGACGCCCAGGACTGCTGAGAGGATGTTTTGGTCATCTTGGGGCCGTCCCTGGACAGGGGGCCGACGTAGCAGGAGGGTCCCATCAGGCAGAAGGTAATGTAGGTCTGGGGTCGCCATGCTGAGGGGCTGCCCGTTCAGCAGCCAGCGGATAGTGGGAGGTGGTTGGCCTGACGCTTTGCAGCTCATCCTGGCTGGGCCGGAGCCCTGAAGTAGCTGGTCCTCGGGGTGAACTAGGATCTGCGGGGGAGAATCCAGAGCCTTGCCTCCTAGGAGTGAAAGAGAGACTCTCTGCACCCCTTCATGTCTTGTGTAGGAGTTTGCCAGTTGGCTTATATTACCAAATATCTATTTCCAAATAGCTAGCTAGAAGAGGAGAGGACCAGTGTGCACAGGCCAGGGTCTACATAGCCCTTTCTGTCTCTCTGACACACAGCCATACCCCACCACCACCACCACCATCATGGTCTCTGGTACTCCCACTACTAATGAGAAGTAAAGACACCAGAGATCCCTTTTTGTCCTGCTGGCTTGGATCCAGGCCATGGATCCAGCCATGAATCCAGAAGCATGAGCTAGGAAAAAGAGGGCCCCACTCACCCATGATGAGTAGAAGCAGCAGAGGCAGAGGCCACCGAGTCTCCAGGAGACCCGCTCCTCCGGAGCCCATGGCTTCTCTCAGCTGCTTTCTCTGTCCCACACACTTTGTCCCCGTCGACGCTCTGAGCTCATAGCGGTAAGGGAAGGAGGGGAGGGGTGGGGTGGGGGTAGTTGTTTGTGACTGAGACTCTGTCCCAGTAGGGAAGCAGCTTTGAGGAAACGGATGCTTCCTGACCGGCCCTCCCTCGGTGCCTTAGAGAACTGGGAGGAGACCAGAGGTGAGAAACTCTCTAACCTCTACACTTCAGCTGTAACCCTGGACACTTAACTTCAGCCCTAAGGGTTACCTCATGTCTAAGTTAGGGTTTCTTAAATGAAATCCTCCCACTGACCACATCCTTAATTCTCCAACCTGACAGCTCTATCTATTTGAAGCTTATGCTTAAATCTTGGTCTCTATCCTTTCCCATTAGACAGACACCTAACAGAGGGAGATAGGGACCCAGAGGTGGAGCCTGACACAGGAGTGAGGAGCTGAAGATAGAGTCCAAAGGGGTGGCAGGCCAAGAAATCAAAGAGGAAGAGGAGCAGTGTGTATCCTTGGTCCATTCCCTAGGAACAGATAGACTGAGCCTCAGAGGCTAGAACAGAGGAATGACCCAGAACCTTGAGAACAAGCTGTGAAAATCCATGGATGGTGTTCACATTTTTTCCCTAACAGACTTGAAAACTGGGTCTGTGGAGTCTTGGGCAGATTCCTTCATCATCACAGTGAGTTTCCTTCTCTGTATAATGGAAATATTAATAATCAATCCCCCCTTGAGATCCAGAGTAAAAATGGAATGAGATGAGACGTAAAACTACTTAACACAGACAGTGCTTGACACATGAGTGACTTTTTTTTTTTTTTTGGCTCATTTTTATGCACATCCCACCCCTGAAGCTATTTGAAGCATCATCAGTGAGGATGAGTTTCAGACCTTGGGAAGATGGTTGGAATGAAGCCTTCTCAGGGTCTGGCCTGGCCTGACCCCTGTCTCCTATGTCTACATAAGCAAACAAGCTTTGCGACAACCAGCTGACTACATTGGCCCCTCCCTAAAACCCAGAGAGTCTGCTCTCTTCTCAGCCCAGCTCCTGTTTACCAGTCTCTTCCTTCCAAATCTGGAATCTCAGCCATTTCCTAGAGCTGTGCACAGAAGGCCAAGGCCAAGCTCTGGGTCTCAGCGGAAGAGCGTCCAGCCTTTGTTCTCAATTGTTCTGGCCAGCTTCTCTGGAGGCCCCTGAGCCAGCTGACCCTTCTCCCTTCCTCCCCCTCCCTACTGAGCTTCAGGGTCGGTCTCGAGCTCTGACAACTGACAAAGTTTCAGAAGGCGCCTTCTCTGATTCTCTTCTCTCTCCTGAGACAGACCAAGACAGATTAAGACCGAATCAGTAAAAGAAAACGCTACCGTCTCAACAAACTGAGTGGTTCCGTGGGCTGCAGAATGGATGGAGTGGAGGTAACAGAGTGACTGAGCTAGATGGATGGGAACTGAGATCAGCAAGAACAGGAGATTTCAGGAATAGAGGCACAGAGGGTGTGGTGGTACAGGGCTGCAATCCCAGCACACTGAGGGGCATGAATTTGAGTCCAGTCCAGGCTGGACCCTGTCTGAAAACAAAACAAAACAACAACAACAATAATAATAAAACCAACAAAGTAAAGCAAAAAAATGGAAGCACTGAGGGTGTTCACCAAGTCTGACTTCTCTGTGGAGGGTCCATAGGGAGAAAGTCAGACTGATGAAAGGGACATTTATATGGCTGAAGTCAGCCAAAGACAGGACAGGAAAGGGTGTGGCCGGCAGGTTCAATGACCCCATAGCTAACCCGGGATTTCCCAGGTACACGCAGGGGCCAAGAGTGGCTGAGCTCCACAAGAACGCTGTCGGCAACTGTCCCTTTTCAGTCTCTTTTGCTGCTACTTGAACTAACCAAGTTCTCTGCTCATGTCCCAATGTCAACTTGATTTTATTTTAGTTTCTATAATCCAGAAAGATCGTATATATTTTCCTCAAAAAAAAAAAAAGGTCAGTCTCAAAGGCGCTCAGATTTGTCCCCAGGCCTGGGCCCAGTTGAGTAGAATAGATGCGGAGACAGGGAACACAGGGAGAGAACCAGAGTCTACGGCAGTTGAGGCGTGGCCTCTACCTATAGACATATAGTCCTATAGTCCCCCATGCTTAGAGTTGCTTTTGAAACGGTCTCTTCTCTCCTCAATATGCTGAAGCGCCGTCTGTTGAAAACCGAAGGGGGTCAGAGGGAACTGACTGCGAGCCATTCCTGCGGGACATTAGGATCCTGAACGCATCCAGGGGAACTCGGAGATGCATGTTCACTTCCAGCAACCTGGCCCACCAGCACTCCAATTGTCTCATTTCCACAAACTAAGGAAGAGCCTACCACATGAGTCATGGGATGGTGTGGATGCGTGGGAGCCAACTCCTGTTTCTATTTTAGGAAGTTTGCTGCTTTAGGGGTCTGGTGACGTGCAAGCTCAGTGATCAGCTTAAATTGCACCTTCCGTCACCTCTGGTGCTAGTGTTTGGTGAGTGACTTGTTCCTGGCTGTTTGAAAGAGGGAAGAGAGGAAAAGGACCAAGCATCCTTCTGAGTGGCCCTTCAGAGCCAATTCCACTTTACAGCTGGCTCTTTGCTTCTTTGTAGTGTTTTATGCATGTGTGGCTGGGGACCCCTCTCCAAGCTGTCAGGGTCAAAGGACAAACAGGTGGCATTTGAAGCCAGATACAGGTAAGTATTCTACTGAACAAGCAACCTAAAGTAAGTTGGATAACCTCTCTCAGGCCATTTCCTCACTTATAAAACATCTGGAGGGCTATGTTGTACCCAGGAAACTTAAGTATGTTTTAAAAACCATTAATTAATTGACCCTTAAATGTCCTGGGTACAAGTACAGCACAGTTCTCTTCCTGAGCAGCACAGCCAACCCTACATACACTGGGGTCTAAAGTCTTCTTTCCTTTAAAGCAAAAAAAAGTATTTATTTCTATATTATGTGTATGGGTATTCCTGGGCTTCACCTGCAGTGCCCTCAGAAGGTACTGGATTCCCTGGGACTGAGTTACAGATAGTTGTGAGCCAACATGTGGGTGCTGGGAATTGAACCCTGGTCGTCTGAGAGAGCAGTCAATGCTTGAACTACTGAGTCATCTCTCCAGCCCCTCTTTTTTTCCTTTTGCTCAAGTCAGGTTGCTCTCAATCTCTCTAAGTTTTTTAATCTTTGTCCCAAGCGGCCAATGGCTGGAGAGAAACTGAGTCAAGCCAGGACACAATGATGACTTCTTCTTTGCTGGCTAGGAGTAGTGTGCTGATGTCACTTTGCTGGCTCAACTTATCTCTTAGTTCTTTGTTCTATTCCCAAGGCCTGAAATCACATCTGTATGTACATACAAACACTCTCTTAGAAATCTCCTTACTTGAATGTAGTGTGTGTATGTGTGTCTGTGTGTCTCCATGTGTGCGTGTGAGTGTGAGCAACAATGTGAAAGCAGGTGGAGATGAGAGAACACCATGTAGGAGTTGCTTCTCTCTACCATACAGGTCCTAGGCTGTCAGGCTTGGTGCAAGATGCCTGTACCCACTCTCTAAGTAATCTTACAGGCTACAACACACCTATTCTCTCAACTCCACATCACCTCTATTTTTTTTTCAAGTAATTATGGGTTACACCTACACCAAACATTGCCTGCCTGGAGGTTCAAAGGCTGATGTCTTCTATAGATATAAACTTTATGTTCATTCTGTTATGTGGTGCCTTAATAAGAGGGCTTGGGTCATAAGAGGGACATTTCTGAAGAGGGCCCAAGGAAACAAGGATGCTGAATTGGGTGCAATTAGGAAGACAGGACATTCTATAATACTTTCTTTCCAGAAGAGTACCTGGTTATTTCTTCACAATGTGGTGCTTAGTCAAACAGTTTCCTTTCGTCTTCTGTTATGAACAGCACAGTATACTGCCTCAGTCAGGGTCTCTATTGCTGCGATGAAACACTTGGGGAGGAAAGGGTTTATTTGGCTTACACTTCCACAGCACTGTTCATCATCCAAAGAAGTCAGGACAGAAACTCAATCAGGGCAGGAACCTGGAGGCAGGAGCTGACACAGAGGCCATGGAGAGGTGCTGCTTACTGGCTTGCTCCTCATGGCTTGTTCATTCTGCTTTCTTATAGAACCCAGTCCAGGTGTGGTAGCACCTATAAAGGACTGGGCCTTCCCTCATTAAATACTAATAAAGAACACCCTAAAGGCTTGCCTACAGCCAATCTCCCCCCATCCCGAGACAGGGTTTCTCTGTGTACTCCTAGTTGTCCTGGAACTCAATTTGTAGACCAGGCTAACCACGAACTCACAGAGATCCTCCTGCCTCTGTCTTTCAAGTGATGGGATTAAAGGCATATACCACCACCACCTGATCCTGCAGCAGACATTAAGGAGGTATCTTCTTAATTAAGGCACCCTCTTCCAGGTAACCCTAGCTTGTGTCAAATTTACACAAAAACTGCCGAGCACAACCACCTCAAATTTTCATTTGAATAAATCCTACCCAAAGCCTGGGATCCCGGAGCAAGGAAGACTTTAACAATTGTAGGAGCTTTAATCTTGGCTTTTCCAGTCTTCAAAATTGTGAAAAAAAAAATAAGTCTGTGATCTTTATAAATTACTCAGTCTTAGGTATTCGGTTACACAAAATGCACGAAGATAGACTCCCAGTCTGACCTTAACGGTTTAATGGTTACTCTTGAGCAAGCTGAATGGAGGTGGTACACATTCAGAACCCCAAAACTTGACAGAGGAGGCAGGAGGATCAGGAGTTCAATGCCATCCTTGGCTACATAGCAAGTTTGAGAATAGCCTGGATTCCATGAGATTGTCTCAAAATAGAACAACAAAAAACTCCACAATAAAATAGTAAAATAAGTTTCCCTAGAGCACCTTCTTCCCAGGAGAAGAATGTCAGGGCCTTGGGATGTATTCAACCTTAGGTAATACTCATATTTTTGTCTCAAAATAAGTTTGTTGTTATTGTTGTCCTTAAACACTGAATGCTCAGAACAACTGGTGAGTTTAAATTTTATTTATTTAGTTATTTACAAGGGTCTTATTGTGTCATCCAGGCTGGAGT